ATGACGTGCATCTGCTACCTGAGAGATGTACTGTAGAGGTTGACAGATTCAATCATGTGCTTGATGTGGGGGCTGGAGAGGAGTCAACAGTCCTAAGCAGCCATCGGTAACAGTGGGGAATATGAATACAGTATAATATGTAAATTACTTAGGACATGAAGCACTTTACTGGGGAGCTTACGGATAAACTGAACTCAACAAGTTCAAATCACTGAGATATAGAATAATCATCAGAGACTAGTGAAGGCTTTTATGCAAAAACTGGAGAGGCTAGGGGTGTGACCTGGATCATGTTAACTTCTACAATTACAATTTAGCTGTAGAACTTTATAGAAGTGATTGTATTGTATCTCATATATTTGCATGTCTCTCATCTCTTGATTCTGGTGCATTCTTCTCATTTTAATATTTAGAACTTGATCTAAACTATTCATTTGTTCATTTAAAGAGCACTAAAAGCTGATTTTTAGTTATTCCCATGGGTCATACCACACACCTATCGCCACACATCTACTTTGGAAAAAAAAGGAAACCTTTCATTTGCCAGAATATCATGTCCATGATTTGTGGACCTCTCAAACTGGATGGAAGCAGTGACAGCAATGTTAATGTGAAACTGTCACGTATGAGCAGCAGTTAGCATAGACTGTGTAATGGCATCTGGCAGATGACCAGGCAAATTCCTACAACATTCCCTGGGGATTTATTATTAATGTATTTGATATCAAGTGGAATTGAGTAAAAATGTCAATTAAGCAAATTCAAGTAATCGGTCAAGCCTTTTTCACATACTAATAAATATAATAATAAATAATGTTCCCTTTGCAATTTAGGATGAATTTACATAATAATCAGTTTTTGCAGTAAATTTATGTCTAAACGATTTTCCTCCTGTAAATGCATATGACTAAATAATTTGGTAAATTTCAAATTAAAAATAATATTTTCCACTGGGACACTGATACAGGGAGTCAGTGACACACTGGATCGAGGTAAAAGAACAATAATGTCTCACATCTCAAGCACTGCGTTACGTCTGAGTGCCAGTGAGATGGCCGAAGCACAACCATAGAGGCTGCATGTAGAACTGCTGCTCACATTTTACTCATTCATAGCACTGGATTTTTGCTTAACCAATTTTGGATTTAAGCATCTTGATCAAGGAAATCAAAAATACAATAGCATCTCCAATGGGACTGAACACTGCAGCTTTTAGGCGAGCATTACTACATTGTACTATATTATGCACTATATTGGCAATCTAAGCCGAATGATACATCGAGTATAACTGTAAAGCCGGAATATGGACCGACATGGCCCATAGACAGAGAAAAGCTGGCCTATAGACAAACTGGTTGCTTGGTTTGAATGTTACATAACATTCACTAAGACTTCCCATCAGGCAGATTGCACAATATTATTAGAAGAGTACTGAAAATGTTATTGTATTCACACCATTTCCAAAAACAGATCTTCAAATATCAACCTAAGTGACATGATGTTCCATGGGGGTCAAAAAGAGGTTTTCCATGTGAATGAGCCCTATAAATGTGAAGTTACTACCATCATTTAAAATCATGTTGCCATATTTTGCACTGCATACCATATGGGTTGTTACTTGCTTTGTGCTATTTACTTTTGCAAACAAGCTCCAAGCTGAGTACAACACTGTATGGGATGAGGTTATGGAAGTTAGCTGTTATGGAAGATGGGTGGCTGTTTGCATGGTTTTGCTTATTGCTGTCCTCTGGTGGACAACAAGTGAATTGCAAGGAAACCTATGTGCTAAATGAGACCAATAATTGAGGCTTATAATACAATGTCTGCAATTTCATAATTTTCATATTAAAAAATTTAAGTGGCGAACCAAATCCGTTTAAACACTGTATTTACGCTTAAATTACTTTTAAGATTACAAAATGTTTTAAAAAGTATTTCAAGTTACATGTTTTGGCATGACTACAGGCTCTCATTTTAATGCTGGGTCCAGCTGGTACAAATCAGGGTTTGTTTTTCCATTTTAACTACAAAGAACCACAAAAACTATGAAACAATGAAAAAAACCAATTGATCCTACAATACATCTTCATGTTTTTGTGGTAGAAAATATACCACTTAAATGTCGTGGTATTTATAATTTATTAGATTTTTCCACAATTTTCTAGTAGTATCACTTGCTGTTGTTGACTGAAGGAGTTATTCACAAACCCATATAATTTTAATAATCATATAATTTCTAAAATTTTATAAGCATAGACTGCAACTCTACTACTGTTTCCTGGTCTACAAATCTTTTGGTTACAAAGATTTAGTTAGGCTCCTACTGTAATTGTTGACAAATACAGAAAAAGGTTGGTGGTTTATATTTCAAGCACAAAACAAAAGAGTGATGCTGAGGCTTTCATGCTACATTCCCAAATGTATGTGAAGATACTTTTACCAACTTATTATGCAACAGAAAAAAAATATTCAAGTATTGAATAAAGTATTTAATTATTTTCCTCTACTGGACAGCATAGTTCAACTTCAAAAACAAAAACAAAACCAGAATCACTTTACTAGAAATTTAAATGATCTGTATTAAATTTCTGACACAGAGGAAAGTCTATGTCTATATCTGGCAAGACTTTTCCATCTCACATTTGACCAAAACGCAGACACTCACTTTGGGATACCTATTCAGTGTTACTTCTGGCATTACACAGCAGTTAAAGAAAAGAGAAAAAAAAAGATACAGATCCAGAGAGACATTTTCCCTGTAAAAATGTGTTTGCCCTCCATTAATGGCTGGGTTTGAAATCCGTCACTGTAACTATAAAGGTCCTGCATTGTTCTTCCTGACTGACTGGTTTACCTACTGTATATAGAACAGAATAGCTAATAATGCAAGGAATTGCACATAACACATTTAGTACAAACATGCACACTTCATTAAAACAGGAAGAAAGACCAATTAAAAGGTGTCAATGAAGTAAGCTGGACTACTGATGGAGTTTCATAAAACATTTTCCCCCCATACACTTTGAGTTTCTGCTCAGCATCCAGTCAGATTTATGCAAAGCATACCACAAACTGCATTTAGCACAGCTTCCAATGCAAAATGTGGTCACCATGTCCACTCCCACCTCTGTTCCTGCACTTATATTGTAAGGCATAGGGGTGTGAGGGCTGTTTTGCTCATACCATAACCTTAGATTTTGGCTAAAGTAATCATTAAAGACCTCACACCCACATGGAACAAATAAGATGGTTGAACTTACAGTAATCCACAATAAAATAAAATGACTTTACACTACTGTAAATATTATGGTGGGATATAGTTTTAGGGGAGGAAATCAGGGGTGGGTAGTGTGCCATTCATAATAAGGAGATGGCACAGTCTTCTGCTTCCATGGTTACAGGATGACACAAGGTGGACGGCTCTTGGTGATCTTTTCCACTGGCTTTCCCTCCTGTGCTTTCTGGAGAGCATCCATTATCTAATACAAGAGTAAATAAATAAATAAATAAATAAATAAATAGATAAAATGCATTCCAACCATATTCACTAATTCACTAATTGTCGCAGCCACCAAAAAATAAAAAGACTCACATCATCTTCGTATGGGAAGCCGCCGGTTTCCATCTTCGAGAAGATCAGCTGTCCATTGACCTCGATCTCGAAGCTACCTGAGAAAAGCAGCAGACATCGCTCAGCTGCGGCCGCTGAGACGGCGAGTGACGGCATTAAGGCATTCCCGGTGTCTCCCCTTACCCTGTCTCCCCACGGAGCCAGACACCTCCGCATCAGGGAACTCGGCGATGACGACCCGCGCAAGCTCCTGATAGCGGGGCTCGTATCCTCATCCTCCACTGGAAAAGATAAAGAGGCGGAAGGAGGACTGGGGTGAGGCCATCAAACTGAAGCCACGCAGCACGGCGCTATGCGATGGCAAAGCGAGGGATTCACTGCGAACCGTACCGCTCACACGCTATCAACCAGTGCAAATACTAACTACACACACGCTAAAACAAGGTCCCCCTAAACACAGCGCGGAATTAAAATCACTCAATTTCGCATTCACTATAATCATGCAGGAAGCAGGTGGTTTAAAGTCACTGTCGCCTATTCGAGAATGATTTGGCACATTAATACGTGAGCTTGCTAACGATGATGCGCTCGGCCTAGTACGTGTAATGAAAACTGCCCCAAACAGTTCTGAAAATGGGTAACATTGTATTAAATTTATGTTCGACACGACAAACCTTACCAGTATTCCACTTGGACTTTTACCCCCATGATTTTGGATGATTCTATTTAGCTTAGCCAGCTAACAACCCGCCTCACTTCCTGTTCTTGTCTACGAAACTATTCTCTGTGCCGCTTCCGCCCCCTGCCGGCGAAGTCATGCAGGGCCCGTTTATAAACGCTGTCTGGGGGTCAATCAGTCTGACAGCTCCTGCGATACATGGGGGAAGGCCGGGGCGGCGCACAGTACATGGGTGGAGATTAGGGCGGTGCACGGTGAATGGGGGGAGGCCGGGGCGGCGTAGAGTTTTGGCACTACGATATAATATGACTTGAAAAGGTCAGTTCTAGGGAGGGGAGTTTGTGTTTTTGATAGGATGGAGGTAGGCGAGGTGCTTTGTGTGTGGATGGCTACGCGCATGAAGCGAAAAATAGTCCCTTACGCTTAATGAATATCATTTGATTACACGACTGTTTCTTAATAAATAAATATTTATAAATATCAGCAAATGCGTAGGTGGTTTATGTTCAAGAGGCATTTCTTTGAAATGCTGCAACATTTTAGATGTGGTCCTGTCATCATGAAAAAATGCGATTTGTACTTGCATTAAACTATGGAGGACAATGTACACCATATAACTTTGATATTATGTGTTTTTATGCGCATTTATTAATAATTGCCCTGTGTCCATTCACCGCCAGTGACTTTAAGCAAGACAACTTGGCTGTTGAACGTGAAGTGCACATCCAAACACTGAAATATATTGCAAACATTGAAAGATATTACAACCGGAAAACTGCATAGCGAGATTTGCCGCGGTGTTGGTTTAAACTCGAACCCGCTTTCTGGAAGTTTTACGGCTTTTTTGGAGAATTACTGACTGTCTCATTGTTGTTTTGATGGGTTAGCGGTATATACTAATGCTATTGCCTATTAACAAAAACCAAAGGTATGATACGCTTAAGTATATTGCAGCTGGTGTTTAAAAGGAGCTCGCCGATTCTATTGATGATTGGACCTTTCTAAAAAAATCTCGGACCATGAAATAGGAAGGCAATTCACTTATAGCTCAGTAGCGGAATCAATATTTTTTCCGCACCGCGAACGCAACATTTTCTTCGGGTTTCACGTGTTTGCTGTTTGTGGGCGTGTACTCCGTCGCCTTGGGCCACTTCTGATTGGTGAGCATGACTGTCACATAAGGAGCACGGCGCTTGTGATTGGTGAGAACGACTGTCACATAGGGAGCACGGTATGAGTTTGGAAAACTATTTTTACAACAGTTTTAAACCCTGGGTCCGACGTGCTGTATAATGTATGTCCTAAATCGCAGCCTTTGCGATTTGCTAATGGCGTTCTTTCAAATCGCGATTTCGTTTTGAAATCGATAAATCGTTCAGCCCTAATTTACATAGTGTAGAATGTCCCCCATAGTTTAATGCTTAAAGCAAACTTAACTGGACATGTCTGAATAGTTTAGATTTATACTTATTAGTCTTTTAATTCTATCTTTTGTAGTTGGAAAAGTATCGCGACCCTGACCTCTTAGGTCAGGGGTCGGCAACATTTTTAAAGCAAAGAGCCATTTTATCCTAAATAGCTGACCCAAGATTTACAAAGAGCTGCAATGGGTATAGAAGTGGGTTTGAGATACGATTTTTAAAAATACGATACGGGTATATGTGCATTTAAGACAAATCAAAACTTCAAATAGTTACAAAAAATAAAGAAAGACAGATTTGGGGGGGGGCATCTCAGTTTTAAATCACTCGGACGCATAACAGCACAAAGGTGACTAATATTACAACAATATGTTCAGTTCTGTAACAATAGTCTTCACCCTCACACCTCCTTTCTTGAGTAAAGATCGTTTGACTCTACAGTTGTCTGCCAATCACTCTGCACTTCAATACTGTAACTGCTGACGTATAGTAGCGCGTACAGTATATACAGTAGGCGTATTTGTAGAGTAGTTGAGGAATGTTTAAACTAGGGACTGGGGGGGCAGGGAGGTTAGTTAAGTATGTAACTGGGGGGAAACGGAAAGCCCCAAAAAATCATATTATAAGTAGGCACTGTAATAGGCCTACCCTTTGTTGTCTGTATTTAAACGCCAGGAGTATTAGGAATAAAATTCATGATTTAGAGGCTCTTACCTGTATCTCATCAGACTCTTATGATATTATAGCAATAACTGAAACGTGGTTGAGAGAAAAGGATGGACAGGAATATAATATGGATGGTTACACGTTGTTCCGTAAAGACCGTATAGG